TCTCGTCTCTCGTCTCGTCTCGTCTTCCTCCGCTTATCCGGGTCCGGGTCGCGGGGGCAGCATCCCAACTAGGGAGCTCCAGGCCGTCCTCTCCCCGGCCTTGTCCACCAGCTCCTCCGGCAGGACCCCAAGGCGTTCCCGGACCAGATTGGAAATGTAACCTCTCCAACGTGTCCTGGGTCGACCCGGGGGCCTTCTGCCGGCAGGACATGCCCAAAACACCTCCCCGGGGAGGCGTCCAGGAGGCATCCTGACCAGATGCCCAAACCACCTCAACTGGCTCCTTTCGATCCGGAGGAGCAGCGGTTCTACTCCGAGTCCCTCCCGAATGTCCGAGCTCCTCACCCTATCTCTAAGGCTGAGCCCGGCCACCCTACGGAGGAAACTCATTTCGGCCGCTTGTATCCGCGATCTCGTTCTTTCGGTCATTACCCAAAGCTCATGACCATAGGTGAGGATTGGGACGTAGATCGACCGGTAAATCGAGAGCCTGGCTTTCTGGCTCAGCTCCCTCTTCCCCACGACAGATCGGCTCAGCGTCCGCATCACTGCAGACGCCGAACCAATCCGCCTGTCGATCTCCCGATCCCTCCTACCCTCACTTGTGAACAAGACCCCGAGATACTTAAACTCCTCCACTTGAGGTAGGACCTCTCCCCCGACCCGGAGGTGGCAAGCCACCCTTTTCCGGTCGAGAACCATGGTCTCAGATTTGGAGGTGCTGATCCTCATCCCAGCCGCTTCACATTCGGCCGTGAACCTACCCAGCAAGAGCTGAAGGTCAGAGCTGGATGAAGCTAGGAGGGCCACATCATCCGCAAAAAGCAGAGACGAGATTCTCCTGCCACCAAACTCGACACACTCCACACCACGGCTGCGTCTAGAAATTCTGTCCATAAAAGTGATGAACAGAACCGGTGACAAAGGGCAGCCCTGGCGGAGTCCAACCCTCACTGGGAACAGGTCCGACTTACTACCGGCTATGCGGACCAAACTCACGCTCCTCTGGTAAAGGGACTGAATGGCCCTTAACAGAAAGCCACCCACCCCATACTCCTGGAGCGTCCCCCACAGGGTGCCCCTGGGGACACGGTCATAAGCCTTCTCCAAATCCACAAAGCACATGTGGATTGGTTGGGCAAACTCCCATGCCCCCTCCATCACCCTTGCAAGGGTATAGAGCTGGTCCACAGTTCCACGGCCAGGACGAAAACCACATTGCTCCTCCTCTATCTGAGATTCAACTATCGATCGGACCCTCCTCTCCAGTACCTTGGAGTAGACCTTTCCAGGGAGGCTGAGGAGTGTGATCCCCCTATAGTTGGAACACACCCTCAGGTCACCCTTCTTAAAGATGGGGACCACCACCCCGGTCTGCCACTCCCTAGGAACTGCCCCCGATGACCACGCAATGTTGTAGAGACGTGTCAACCATGACAGCCCTACAACATCCACAGCCTTGAGATACCCAGGACGAACCTCATCCGCCCCCGGGGCTCCGCCGCTGTGTAGTTGTTTGACTACCTCAGCAACTTCTGCCCCCGAGATCGGACAGTCCATCCCCAGGCCTCCCAGCTCTGGTTCCTCCTCGGAATGCGCATTGGTGGGATTGAGGAGCTCCTCAAAGTATTCCTTCCACCGTCCGACTATAGCCTCAGTTGACGTCAGCAGCTCCCCATCCCCACTGTAAATAGTGTGAGCGAGTTGCTGCCTTCCTCTCCTGAGGCGCCGGACAGTTTGCCAGAACCTCTTTGGAGCCGATCGATAGTCTTTCTCCATGGCCTCACCAAACTCCCCTGATGGAGCACTATCTAGCACTCGTCCCAGGGACTCCAAAAAGGGTGGGTACTCTGAACTGATATTTGGCCCATAAGCACAAACAACAGTCAGGACCCGTTCCCCGACCCGAAGGCGCAAGGAAGCTACCCTCTTGTCCCCCGGGGTAAACCCCAACACACAGGCAGAGAGTCTCGGGGCTAACAAAAAGCCAACCCCAGCCCTCCGCCTCTCACCCGGAGCAACTCCAGCAAAGTAGAGTGTCCAACCCCTCTCCAGGTCTCGGGTTCCAGAGCCAATGCAATGTGTCGAGGTGAGTCCGACTATATCTAGCCGGTACCGCTCAACCTCTGCCACAAGCTCCGGCTCCTTCCCCGCCAGCGAGGTGACGTTCCATGTCCCAAAAACTAGTTTTCTTGTCCGGGGATTGGACCGCCAAGGCTCCCGCCTTGGTCTGCCACCCGATTCACATTGCACCGGACCCTTCCTGTTCCTCCTGCGGGTGGTGGGTCCACAGTTGGACGAGCCCATGTATCCGGTTCGGGCTGGGCCCGGCCGGGCCCCATGGGCGAAAGCCCGGCCACCAGGCGCTCGCTCACGGGCCCCAACCCCAGGCCTGGCTCCAGGGTGGGACCCCGGTAACCCTCCGGGCCGGGTACTCCGACTCTTCGTTTTAACCGCCATGAAAGATCCTTCGAACCGTTCTTTGTCTCACCCTTCACCTAAGACCAATTTGTCATGGGAGACCCTACCATGGGCACTAAGTGCCCCAGACAACATAGCTCCTAGGATCATTAGGGCACTCAAACTCCTCCACCACGATAAGGTGACGGTTCAAGGAGGAGTACTGTTGATTGGTGGTCTTTAATTTGTATGCCAACATCTTCCAACATCAGTTTTCTCTCTGAAATCCACCAGAGTTGACTATTTCTGTAAGATGTTTGAAGCAAACGACTAAAGTGGGAAAATTTGTTCAGATTACACAGAAATGATTTGATTTTGGGGCATCCAGTAAACATAGGGAAACTTTATGACTGTGAAGGGATTTAAAGGCTTGTCAAAATTAAAACCCTGATGAAAAAGTAATCATAATTGGACGCTCTTATAGAGAAACCTAACATATACAAGCACGTGTACACACAGGTGCTCACATGGTGCACTCATAAGTATGGGCTTGGACATTTTCAACACATCACCTGTGCTGTGGCTGTGGCTGGCACTAAATGCTGTATGAATTATTACCGTGTGTTTCTCAGCAAAAACTGTTACTTTAATATATCCTCATGGATGTAATTTGGAGTGGGAGGATACCTGGTTTTCTGGAAATTGGGGAAGACAGGAGCGATTGGAGTGCGACCCGTACCCACGGAATGCGCCGCTCGGGCGGTGACCTCACAGACTGGGACGTTACTCGAGGTGAACCGTAAGCTGGACAATGTCCTCGCGGCGTTGCCTGTGTTAGTGCGCAAGATGGATTTGATCTCGGAGAGGGTCGCCGGACGATGCGGGGATGTGGAATGTAAAATTGGCTTCACTGGTGGACATGAATGACCACTCTAAAGACTCCAAGGCGGAGAGGAAGATTATCTCTGCCTGCCCTAAACAAAGTCATGTTTATCCTTATCTGACGCCATAGCAGCCTCTCAAGGCTGCTTCAACACACCCCCACAAAAGGAGGAATGCCGACAGATGCTGTGTCCCGACCTTCACCCTCTTCCTTCAGGCTGACATGTCTGCAGGAACCTCAATGTGCTCTCTGTTCCTTATCTCTCCCTCCCACCTGTTGGTCTGCAGCTGATCGATGCGCCGCAGTGGCAGCTCCCATTGGAGGCTTCAGGATCCCGCCCATCCCCACCTCCCCATCGGACTCTGATGTTTGTATCTGTGCTGTTTTGTGCTTCCATGTTGAAAGGAGTTTTTTTTTGTATAATAGAGTTACTCCCCGCTGGGGCTAACTCTGCTATGCCTTTTTTTTACCTACCCCCACTTATCCTCATGTAACACCCTTTCATCTATCTATTAAGGTAGCGCGACTCATGTTGCGAATGACCGCAGTCACCAATTCTTGTCATGTGTCTTACCCACGTATGTCTGATCTTTGAATTGTGTGTGCTGAAACTGAATTTCATTTCTCTGCATGTCCTGCACATGTGGTAGAAGATGACAATAAATGACTTTGACTTTGATGTTGTTGGTGCAGGGATATTCTGGTCTTGTTATAATTTTGTGTGTCCCCATCTCTCTCTCTCTCTCTCTCTCTCTCTCTCTCTCTCTCTCTCTCTCACACACTCACTCACTCACTCACTCACTCACTCACTCACTCACTCACTCACTCACTCACTCACTCACTCACTCACTCACTCACTCACTCACTCACTCACTCACTCACTCACTCACTCACTCACTCACTCACTCACTCACTCTCTCACTCACTCACTCACTCACTCACTCACTCACTCTTTCTGCAAATTCTTGTTTATCATTTCTTGTTTACTTTTGTGAACCCCAACTCCCCCACCTCTTCGTTCTCTCTCCCCCTTTCTCTTATACTTCTGTCTCTGTGTCCGTTGGTATTTTAAACAACTGAAAATATTTGTAATAAAGTTTTGGTATCAGGCGCGGCATTATAGCAGCAGCTATAACGCTCCACCTGTGAGAGTAAAACTGCAAGGCTTGTCTTCAGCATTCAGATATCAATTCTGATGGTTTCACAGCCGGACCGGACAGGAAAACAAACAAACAATTTAAATTAATACAATTAAGTTTAACCAACAAATGCTCCTAATTTGAAAGTTCACTCTTTAAGGCTGCAACATGAGCGGGCTACACCTTTTCCTTTATTACCTTTTACAAGCATTGGAAGTATCTAAAATATTTTACTCATCAGAATGTGTTTGTTTTCTTTAATATATAAACAATGTTGGTTTTCAACAATCCCCTTTCAATGTTCCATGAAATTTCTTATTAAGTAAATAAATTCACATAGCAGTACATTTTTACTGTGGAGATTGCAGCTCCAGATGTGAAGTTTTCATTTCTAAACAGAATCATTTGTCCACTAGGTGGAGCCAACAACGCCACATGCATTTAAAGTGTGCTTTGGACTCACATCTTCATCATTTTGAAAATAACTAGAGATAAACCCTAAACAATAGCTGCTTTTTATTTGATGATTTGTATTCAGGTTTATGCTGAATTAGAGGGTTTTGTAATTCTCTCCTCAGTGTGAAGACAATGGTGGAGGCATACTTCGTTTTCCCAAATGGAACGGCTCTCAGAGAAGAAGAAGTGGAAGTGATGATCGTGAAATCTGAATATTTTTTTGCCCTGAGAGACCTTGGTCTTGCTGATATTGTAAGTGCAGCAGAAACAACTTAGAATTTCATTCACTCAAAATGAGGAACTCCAATTTTGAAGTTGGAAGGAAATACATTTTACAGCTTTTCAGAAGTCAGTGTGTGCATAACGGATTTCCCTCCTTGATTTCAGGGTGCGTCTGGTGACAATCAACAGCCAACAAACCCAATTCAGTACATCCTTCTGGGGATTGTTGGAGGCCTCGTCATAGTGTTGGCTGTGCTCACCACCTCGCTGTTGTGCACTCGCAGAAGGTCAGAACAAAGCTCTGGGAGGGGAAAGGTCGAGACGGGTCAGGGAGGTAATCTGATCTGCGTGCTTAATGTTACAGCTACAAGAGGAAGCTGAAAGCAGCTAAAGCAATGAACTCTGCATCTATGGTGACTTCTGACAACCAGAAAGGAGGCACGGCGGTACCTGGCACCAACAAGTACACCATGGAGGGGTGAGTGTGGTAGCAAGAGCAATAAAAAAAAGCAAACTAACTTTTTTGTCCTCTAATATTAAACATTCCTCTCTGGCAGAGCTAATCCGGTGCTGAACCTCCACATCAACTCAGCTATAGCTTTAGATTTAGATGGGGAGAGCTCAGACATGGACAAAGTCAGGTAAAGCAAAGAGGATTTTAAAAGAATTGATCATCTCTGGTCCCGAAACAGGGCTGACTTCAAGGTCAACGTTCACACACACACACACACTCACACACACACACACACACACACACACACACACACACACACACACACACACACACACACACACACACACACACACACACACACACACACACACACACACACACACACACACACACACACACTACCTCTGAAAAGCTCTGGTTTGAACAGAAATGAGCAGAGCATCTGGAAACTATCAGTTAGAAAATACGATTTTCTTTGTTTCTTTTTAATTCCAACTTTCCTTTTAATGCTGTAAAAGATGTTTTTTTTATTTTTAATGAAAGTATTGTCGGAACAAAACAATTATCTTTTTGTTATACTCTTAAACATTGATAAAGTCTTGTAAAATTATATATATATATATATATATATATATATATATATACAAAAAGAGAAAATAAAGTCATTTGCACAACAGAAAAGCGAAATGTAACTGAAGGATTGTCCAATTTTCTTTTAAAGTTTCAATTCCCTAGATGATCATTGTGAGATGATGACCACTGACTCAAATCCCGACATGGTGAGTTTTAATTTCTTCAGACTGACGAACGTCAGAACAAAAGGAAGCAGTCTAACTGTAAAACTGCTGCATTTCTCAGCAAACCATCGAGGAGGAAGAAGAACCTAGAGGCCCTTCAGGCTACAACGAGGCTCTGGGTGCAGCGCTGGCCCAGGTGGGCCCAAGGAAAGATGCCAAAAAGGCCGACACTGGCTTTACCAACCCTTCCTTCGACACGACTGACTTGTGATGGACATTAAAGAGGCTCAGACAAAATCAGGCAAACCAAACCAAACATTTTCTGTGTTGGATGTTGTTGTTTTTCAAATAGAAGTTTTATTCTGACCAGTTGGAATGTTAAAGTGAGTCTGACTTCAATCAAGCAATTATCTCAAGAAAGTAAAACTGCCCACAAGGAAAAACCACAGTTCAGAGTAATTAGGCTGTTTTAAAAATATGAAACATCCCAGTTGTAATCGTACGGCTCGACTTTGTCCAGCTCCTGTTAACTGAAGCTTCGCGAGTACTGGAGGGAACCGTTTCTCCCAAGATGGCAAATTTCAACACATTTTTCAACCAACAAATGGGAAAGCAAACAAAATCAAAGTTGCACAAAGAATCACTTTATTTCTGTTAAAGGTTTTTGGATTTGTTTAAAATAAACTAAATTATATACAAGTCAAGACACGTCGCTGACCTCCAGCTGCAGCTGGAAAGGTGATGATAAAGTTAAATATCATGTAAGGTATGATGGAAACCATTTATTTATTGGAGCATGTCAGCCAGGACCGTCCCTCCGGTGTCAGTGCTTACCTGCTCTCTGCAGTTTTATTCACCAAGAACCAAAAGAATGTATCGTGTGTCCAAATAAAAACTACATCTGTTTCTTCCATTGTTGCCGTTTTATGAAACTATGGTATGCACACGAACACACATCACTAGCACAACAATGATCTCTGAACCATGGACGTAATTGCCCCCCCCCCCCCCCCCCCCCCAGCTTTTCCAAAGTCAAGTTTTGACCACTGCACTTTTTACCATCCAAAAACAATGTTACGCTATATTAAACTGACACTGGTTGAGCTCTAGGACCAAGCGGAAAACAACCATTTGTGTTGAAGCCTGTTTCCCATTAGAGCATGCTGTATGTAAAGATACCCCCCCCCCCCCCCCCCCCCCCCGTGTCCCCTCTACTTCTAAAGTGAAAATTACGTCCGTGCTCTGAACTGAGACAGATTAAAGAATCATCACATATTCCACAACTGGACCACATCTGTCTGCAGCAAAACACAGTAGAGGAGCAGAGACCTAAAATATACTTGACCTGAAAGACGGTTGTCCGCATCATGATCCCTAATCACACCACCTTTCACTACACAGCTCAGCTTAAGCTAAGACTAGAGGAAGAAAAGGCGCCTTTTATACACAAAGAAATTCACATCCACTGGAATCCTCACATCCCATTAAGTTGCCTCCATGACAAGTGTCTAAACACAAGGTTGTAAGTAGAAATCTGCCCCATCCTTCTCAGACCTGAGCTTCCAAACAGCCAGGAGAAGGAGAGCCTGTTGCCATGGCGGCACACTGTCTGAGGTGAACAAAGAAAGGAGCTAAAACGCCTAAGTAGGCGATGAGGAGGAAAGAAATATTAAAGGAGAGGAGCTAGACGACACTCAGGGTGCCAGTTACCCTGGTGGTCAGTTCTCAGTGGTCAGAGCAACCCCTTCCCCCATTAGAAACGAGATGAATGGAAAGTTATGGCTGCTTCTCTGTGATGAATCCACGGTGAAGCGATGTGCTTTTGGAACTGGTCTGTCTGGTGAGAGGGTGTGATTATTTGTTCCTCGCCCCGTCAACACGACGCTGAGCTCTTGTAAATCCTAGTATCACAGCCACAGTCGGGTTTTGTACTGAAACGTGTTTTCTGCAGCCAGCTGTTGGGTTCTGAGCCAGATTTCTTTTCCCATCATTCATTGGTGTGAGCTCTCGAGCAACAATGTGGCTGCTGCACGTTCTCCATCATCACACGGAAAGGGTTTCTCCTGCGTCGGCTCACCTTCTCGTCCCGTTCACCTTTCTTCCTCGCCCGACCCTTACCTGACTCCACCTGCTCTGCCTCCGATTGCTCCGGCGCAGGTATGGAGGACTGCTGCTTCTGTTTCAACACCTGCTTCTCCAGGTGTTTCTGGATGGCTGAGCCCAGCACAGCTACTTCCACCACCGCCCCGTACACCTCCCACGTCATGCCTTTTTCGTCCCAGTTCACCTCCTGCACCGGCTCCTCACACGTATCCTCACAATTTGTACCCTCATTTGTGTCCTCCCCCTCTTTCTCTACTTTCTTTTTTCTCTCTGCCACATGCTGTGCTTTATCCTCCTCCTCCTCCTCCTCCTCCAGGATCTTCTTCTCTATGCTCGACTCTTTCTTGATCTCGGGAAAAGTTGTGGCGATGGGAGTTCTCGGGGTCATGGGTGCAGTAGCAACTGAGCAAAACTCCACCTGCCGGCCCACCTGCAGCTCAGCGTCTTTCGTCTCGGGGACCGCCACCTTACATTTCCCAAAGGAGCTGGGGAAGTGAAAGGCTTGGTCCCCCTCAGGAGGTGTCATGGGGCTGGTGGCTACAGACTGACACTGCACCACCTCGAGGCTCACCTGTGTGCGGATGTTGTGGCATCCAATGGGGGCCGGAGACTCCGGGGGTTTCGTCCCTGAAACGTCTGTGGGCTCCACACCTGTGCCTTTGCTTTCTGTTGTCTTAGAATTGTTTGCTTCTTCTGGTTCCTCGGATTGCTTCTGAGGACGGGTTGAGTTGGACGTGTCCTGTGGATGAACAGGAGTTTCTTTTCCACCCTCACTTTTTCCTCCACCTTCTTCTTTCATTTTCACCATTTCTGGATCCACGGAAGCCAGATGTGATTCTTCCTTCTTTTCATCTTCTTCCTCATTGTTGCCATGTTGGGTCACCAAGATTGTAATGTCTTGATCCAAGCTCCCCATCCTCTGCTGCTTACACTGCTGGTCGTTGTCCTCACAAGTCCCTTGAAAATGTTCCGATCTGAGACCCACACAACCGGTGGAAATCCCTGGAGATGAATCAGAGCTCGGGCTTCTCGTTTTTTCTGACTTAGCTTCTTGACATTTCATCGCTGTGAAACTCTCGTGATGGCTACTTTGAATTTGCTCCTCAGTCTTCATCTCTTCCTTCTGGACTGTCTCTCTCCCAACGAGAACTGGAAAAACGGTGGTGGACGGAGTCTTGGGGGTCATCGGGGAGGTGGCGACAGAGCAGAACTCAGCCTGCTGACCCACCTGCAGCTCTGCATCTTTGGTGTCAGCAGCAGCACCTCCAGATTTCCCAAAAGTGCTCGGGAAGAAGAAGGAATGGCCCCCTTCAGGGGGAGTCATGGGGCTGGTGGCCGCCGAATGGCACTGGACCACCTCTAGGCTCACCTGTGTGCGCATGTGATGCTGCCCAATCGGGGCAGGCGAGAGTGGGTCAAAGGGATCTGGAGTTGACGGCACAGGAACTGAGATATTCCTAGTTTCTGCTTCTCTCCTACCCTCGCTCCCCCTCTCAGAATCTCCATCAGTTTGAACCTTGAGGGGAGCTATTGCTTGGTTTTGTGTAGCGGTTGTTTCCTGAGCTGCAGGGTGAGGCGTCAGAGGCGGGACATCAGTCTGTGTAGAGTCTTTATCTGCCTCTGAGACTGATCGGTGAGAGGTTTCCATATCAGCTCCTGACACCTCTTGATTATTGGACATTGGTTTTCTATCCCTGGCATTCTCGTGGAGATGTGGCTGATGGTCCTCTCCAGTTGTTGACTCTTGACTCGTGTGCAGTGGATGTCCCTCACCCACTGCGCTGCTCTCTGAGCCTGCTTGATGTCCCGTGTTTTCGGACTTCTCAGAAGGCTGCTGGTCCTCTTTGAGCCTGAGACCTCTTTTCTCATCCTTAAGGCTCCCCATTCTGCCTCTTCATTAAGTGGTGGAATAACTGGCAGACAGCACAGACACGCTGTTTGTGCAAACTGTAATCAGAGAAGAGCCCACGCATGAGCTCAGGATTAAACAACAGCTTGTTCTGTGGTGAAAATACAAAATCCATGTCAAGCATCTAGTCGCTCGCATGCAGCAGCACCCTATCATGGAAACCGTTTTCAGAGAAAAGCAAAAGCTAGCTCTTATTAACACAAAATTTATGAACTTCTTTTACAATTTCTGTGGTTTTATTTTATAGGAATCTTTTAAACTCTGATAATAAATCCCTGCAGCTTTTGTTTTCATCACATAACAACAAGTAATATGTAAAAAAAGGGAAATTTTGCATTATTAAAGCAAGAACGATGAAAAGAAACAGTAAAAATCCAAGTTAAAGACGTACCTCAGCAGCAAAGTCGTACTGAAGCGTCTCCACAACTCTTCTTCAGATTTAGGTCAGACATCACAAATCTCACTGCTGATTGAAGCCGACATCTGCCCGTGCAGCTCGGCTGTGTGATTGATTCTGATGGTGCTGGCTACAGGTTTGTCTCTAGAAGAATCTCTCTTAGGCAGTCCTCGCTCTTTAGGCTGTGCCTGTGTCTGTTGAAAAGCTTCACATTTCCAGTTTCCCTGGAAACCAACGGCAGGAGCTCTGGCAGCGAGTGGTAATGCAACGACAAAAAGCTCAGAGCTGCTCTGCAATCATAAGGAACTCATGATGATTAACCACAGGTTCTCGTTGGACACACGATGGACACCAGGAGCAGAGAGATGAACTTATGATGGATTGAAGCGGTTTTACAGGGAATAAAAGGCAGTGACAACAGAACAAGTTATTAAGAAGGATCAGTGTGAGGCCTGATGAAGGGAGGGTGTAGCGTGGCGTTGATCACTTCCTGTTTCTCTACGGACATCAAAGTTTGTGTCTGTGGAGAACACGCACGGGAAAACTCAAAGTGTGAGAAGTTTTGGTCAGATTTGTCAGTAAAGATTTAAAACAGTCATCGAGTCATGCAAATATGTGATTTGTGAACGATAGAATAGACTATTCATCCCGCGGCGAGGACCTTCACTCGTTAAGGCCAGCTGGAGATGCAGAGTTGCTCTGCTGCATATGGATATGAAACCCAACAGTTCAGCTTGAAGGAGCCTGGAGGAAGCAGAGCTGTGCCTCCCACACAAGCACACACTTACAAAAGAGAGGGCTTTCACGCTGATCCCTCCACCCAACACCACCGCCGTGCAGCCTGCTGCTCTGTGGAATTCTAATCACGCTATTGCGTAATGTTGCAGATATTTATGTTTCCTTTATTTTTAAACATTGTCCTAGTCCTGTGATCTCTGCGAGCATGGCCAGAACACCGTGTACTGACAGAAGTAGTATCAGCATCAATTCAGCGACCTCGGCCAATCACAAGCCATCACTGAGTTCTGTTGCCTGGCAACCGTGTATAGTGTGATGGAGAGAGGTGTGCTGCTAAGCACCAAGGTAAACAGTTCTGATCTCACTCCTGTCGGGAACTTTGAGCCCGCCAAAGGCCAGCTCCTCAGCGATGTGCTGGTCCTGATGGAGCTGGGCGATTCACTGATGAGAGCTGCTCTCCACCATCCAGCATCAGCAGTGGTGTGTTTTATTTCCACCAAACACGGCAGGGTGTCACATCATGTCAACTCAAGGCAGAAGTTGTTCTTTATTTATTGGCCGAAATAAAAACAATTCATAAAATCTGTTTTAAAGCAAGACAACAGAAACACAAATCTTTTCTTGTTTCTGGAATGTTAATTTAGTAACGATGGATTATTTTCCAGGGTGATGTTTCCCAACACATAATTAGTTGTCACATGACTCTACATCTGGCGGTTTCAGCTAGAAGCTTTTGTTTTCTGCTGATCATTTTGGCTCCATTTTCTGTCCGAACTCCTTGATGGTGTCTGTGGTTTTCTCCGCAGCCTTCCCTACGGCTGCCCGAGTCTGCCTGCTGGCTTCTTGAGCAGCTTGGAAAATTCCAGAGAAAAGAAATACAGCAAAACGTTAAATAAATCTTCAGCACTTCAAAGCCAAACTGTATTACCGCCTCAATTACAAATGTAAACTTTTTTTATTCCATTGTTCTTCAACAGTAAGAAGAGTTTGTGTGAAAGCCACATTTAGGTGTTTTTGTGAAGGAAACTCATAATAAAGTCCTGCGATGCTCCTCTGCACCCTTGCTTGCTTCGTGGAGGTAGTGCTGCTGTCAGCTTCACCTCCAACAACATAATACTTCACACCAGAACCCAGAAGTCAGAGCTTAACCAGCAGGCCTCTGGTGTCTGGCTGCAGCGTGTGCATTCAGTCATGCCCCCTTAATTAATGATTAACAGTAGTTATTTGATGCTAAAAACAAATCTGTGGATGTCTGTGGGGGGAAATTTCAGCCTCAAATTGTGAATGTGTGGTCTCTGGGATCGGATGTGGTAGAGCTCATTTGTTCGTCTGTGGTGTAAACTGAAAGTCTGCTTGTGCATCTTGTGCCACATCACCATCACTATTAACGTTGCTACAAATTTCGCTGTGCTGGTTTCTTTTGATAGGATAGCTGATTCTAATAAAAACTAAAAACTTTATCATAATAACATCATTTAAAAAAATCTAAAAACATTCATGAATGTGTTTAGTTTCCATTGTCCAGTCTTGTATTGCTGCCCTTTAGCTGGGTAATAGGATCAATCGGGGGCTCATCCGGGATACAACCTTTCTTTTACAAAACCCAAATTTTTGTAACAACCTGACTCACTGGGCACCATGTTTGCTATTAAAAAATATGACCTATATAATTTCTGGTCTGCAGTATGAGGAGCAGCCATTAAACACAAAGAAGATGATGCAGACTGGTGCACAAAGCCCAGCAAGGCCAGTGAAGGTGCAGCATGTAAAATGCTTCTTATTGTCAGTTTCCTTTAATTTGTTCAAGCCAAATAAATATTTTTATGGGTGGCTTCATTTAAATATTGACATCTTTCCTTCCATAAAATCTGTGCAAATGAGGATGCTTTATTAGCTTTATTACCTTTGCTGACTGTTTCTTTGGAGGAGTCTGCCACCTGCTGCACAGCATCTTGAGCTGCCTGCACTGGAAGCACATCAACGGGTTTTCCCAAGATTCATTTCACAAAGAGAAAAATCTGTCATTGACACCATTTTAAAGTTAAACTCTTTGTTTAAAATGTAAAATAAACTGGGTCAACCTGAAAGGCATGTGAAGGATCATCAAATTATCCAAAAAGGAAAGAAATGTTTGACTGACTGACAAGCAGATTGTAGATTAGCCCACGTGAGAGGCCAGTACCTGTACTGTCAGTGACTCCTTTTGCAGCAGAGTGACTCGTCCCTCTCGGGATCTCGAAAGATGTTTTGAACGTAGCCATGTCTCCTGTCTTTGTGCCTGTAGGGTCCTCACATCAGTCTGAACCACAAGCTGCACGACCGGCTGTTTAAAACCCCGACACCACTTAGCCTGCACTTTCCAGCTGAATAAACCAAAACAAAACCCACCTCAAAAAGCCCCGGTTGGACTGGCATCCCAAGTACGACAGCATCCAGCCAAGGGCTCAAGCCTGCTCAGCAGATTTTTCACATCCAGCAAAATCAAACCCCCCAGATGAGGCAGGGGGCTAAAAAGATAAACGTGCCAGAATGATGCATAACACAGCAGAAAAGAAGGGTACCAAAACAGTTTTTCCCCTTTTGACCCTTTATTTACAGAAGATTTGTTGTCTGGCATGACACAGAAACCTTTACACTGACAAGTTCTGCAGTTAAAGCACATCTCGATATGACAACCATTATGTTTCCAAGACATAATATTCTGACTCATTAAAACCTTTAGTACACACAACCACGCGCACACGCACACACACACACACACACACACACACACACACAAACATGTACACTGTCGGCTTTAGCAGATAGTTTAGTGGAATGATTCACGAGTAACCATAAAGATACGATGTAGAAAACTCTTACTTGTAAAACAACTTAAATTCCAAAGAAACGCGTAAAGAAGAAGAACCACAAACAAGCATCATCGACACTTAAGAGGATATTATAATGTATTTATATCTGCTTGCAAATGGTCATAATTATTTTTCGTCACTCCCAAAGTCTCGTTGGAAGATGATGAACATCTATTGCACATTTTCTAAATACAGATACACGAGTACAAAGCCACGGGCCCCGACTCTGGTCTCATTTCGTTGGGAGGGAGTCAAGGAAATGAGACAGAGAGGACGAATCCTACACCTCAATAACTAGCTACACCCAACACGTTACAGTAATAACATGACATTTACAATATTTAATAAAAGATTTGTCTTGAAGGAAGAACATTTTTCAGTGGGAATGCTTGTGTTGTGTTGGGTTTTTTGCAACAGGAATATAATTGTAATAGTTTCAGCATTTGTCCTTTTATTAGAAATATTATTGTGCTGCTGGCTGGATGGTGGTTGGGACGAATGCGTTTATGCTTCTGGCTCGTAGTCCTGGCTCTCCTGGGGGAGAAAAGAGACAAGCAGGTGAAATTTGTGCCACAGACATGCTCCATCTCCAACTCAGTGTGTCAGCCCTTAATTCAAACATAAAGAAGTCAAATTCATTTTGAAGCCGTTTAAGGAGAGTACATGACATGGAGCTTGTGGCCGCACGTGACAGCTCACTGCTGAGGGTGATGATGTCACTCCACCACTCAGCTGAGCTCCCACGCTCCGGCCGACAGATGGCAGCACAGTCCTGCACGAGCATCGAGAACAAGTCGTGTGCATATTCATTCCCCGTAGGGTTACACACACACACACACACACACACACACACACACACACACACACACACACACACACGTGCACACACACACACACACACACACACACACACACACACGCACACGCACACACACACACGCACACGCACACGCACACGCACACACACACACACTCACACACACACACACACACACACACACACACACACACACACACACACACACACACACACACACACACACACACAGGGACTCTCCAGTGGCCTTAAGTTTACATAAAGCCAGCATGACATGAACATAAATAGATTTTATCTCCGTCTCCTCCCTCAGATGGATTCATTCACTCTGCAGCACACACACTCCATATGTTCAGCAATGCAGGGAGACCCTGACATTACCCACAATGCACGGAGGCACAGAGCGTCATCACCACACCCATTAGACAGCGCTCGCACATTGCTGGTGTAGCAGGAGATGGGGGAGGGGAAATGATGCAGAGGAGCAGGAGGAAGATGGAGGAGGAGGAGGAGGATGATACTGGCTACTGCTGCTACTGAGAGTCCATTTCATCCAATAACATCTCAGCTTTATTTTTTTCTGATTGTCATTCAGATGTTGTTAGCCCTCAGCAGAGGTTATAATAAAACCACACGCGCACCAGTAAAAGCATTCAGGCAGATTTTACAAATCTGCTTTCAAAGCTGCAGCTTCTGCATCGTGTGTCTCGTCGCTGACAGGCCAGATCCAAAAATAACCAACTGTGTCATACTCACACCCTTCCTCCACACACACACACACACACACGCACACACACACACACACACACACACACACACACACACACACACACACACACACACACACGCACACACACACACACACACACACACTCCAGCCCGCGCTGGTAGGTGGAGCTAGATTCACTGTACTCTGTGTGGCAGTTGGCTTGTTGTGCCCTCTGATTTCATCTCCAGCTAAATGAACAATGAGCTCAGCGTCAGCTGCTCCACTCGTGTGGGACACAAGTGGAGGGCGAGCATGGAGAGCTATTCAAATGCAATCCAGTGTCGCGCGTGAATTCTGATGTACCCCACCTACCGTACATGAACGGACCCATCCATGCCTCTGTATATAATACGTGAAGTTTATCTGCAGCAAAACCTCACCATTTCATGCTAGCATTATGACATGTGACTGGATGAAATGGAGACGTGAACGGGCTTGTGTCGTGCAGGCGGATTTACCTGCTGGGACTCATCATATGTCTCCCCTTCTGGCTCCAGCATTGCCTCTCCCTGGCCCTCCATGGCCTCCTGCCCATATTCCTCAGGCTGACAAGGAGGGGATAAAAACAGAGGCATGAGAAGGGAAAGATGTGCAGCAGCTATACACACCAAACATGAAACCAGGCTTTTGATCAGTGGATAAAGAACTTGTCATTGCAGTCATGCCTCAGAGGTCTTTGGTCTCAGTGGTACCAGACACTGCAGATTCTCATGTAGACCCAACCAAACAGAAACGTAAACAAGAGAGATCAGATAAAAGCTACAGGTAATCTCCTGGTTCAGACAACATTAAACTGAAGCTGGAAACTGAGATGAATATTTTTCTGATTGCTGCCATCACTGTGATAGTTTTCTGTTTATATTCTGTGTTTGGTTGAATGTCCCGTGTCTGAAAGTCATCACCAAACCTGAGTAACCACAGTTCGTCATGTGACGTTCACGAACGAATCAAATCTTTTGAACGGGTTTTCAAAGTGAACGATGAGAGCCGCGTCCCCGTAGAGAGCTGTTCATCTTGTCTTCTGGTAACAAACCTCCCCGGAAGTCAGTAAAGGGCAGCCGCTCCAACCCCGCCCACCACTGTGACGGACACCGCAGGAACACGTTGCTCTTAACCCCCCCCCCTTGCTTCACTTCGTTCAAAGGAACCAGTCTTTTGAACGGCTCTTTGAAGTAAACGACTGACTGATGAACGGCTCCCATGAAAGAGCCATAAATCCCATCACTACACTAGTTACTCGCACTTCACTGTTTATATGCTCAACTCAGTGTCAAACCATCATTCTGTAATGATAAAGTGCCTTTTTACTAAATAATGTAAGAATATTCAAGCATAACCTGAATCTTGCTTCCATGACTGATGAACACACACTAGAAAGTCATAATTAAGAATCTTTGCTCTGTGGCCCCAAACTAAAACAGGTTTTAACTAGGGCTGCACGATATTAGGAAAACCTGCGATATTCGATAACAGTGCTTAGTATTGCGATATCGATATTACTCACGATAAATGAACAAATACTAAAGTATGCAGTGTTGATGTCGTCTGGCGTGTGACGTCTGCTCTGGGTTGAAAGCAAACAAAAACTAATGCATGAATTCCATTACAACATAACGTTTTTATTGCAAAAATATGCAGCTGCAGCTGCTACCGTATTAGCAGCTGCACCTGCTACTCTAGCAGCAAAACAACAAACTGCATGCATGCAGTTTCTCAGTGACTTTAACACATCACCTCCACCATAAAACTTTTTCTGATGCTCCAAATACAGAAAAACATCCCTTACCAGGGTTTTTGAATAAATAAAAAAATCAGAAAATAAGTTTAAATGTTAAATAATCGTTAACATCACTTAAATGCAACAGCAAATTCTCTCATTGCTACTGAGCATTTTCTCCACTTCTGTGGTTATGATATAAGGCTGTTGCTGTAACTGGGAAGTGAACTGTGCTGGGCCAAACTAGGAGAATATTAAGATTTTTTGAGGGAAAGAGAAAAACAATTGTCTACCTTTCAGAAGAGGAACTGGCAAAAAAACTACATGGAAAATATGTGAAAATGTTTGTTTTTAATGCCAAATTGAACAAGTTTACCTAGATCTTAAAAAGCAGCTCAGATGATGAAACTATGATTCTGATAACAAGCTAACACATTGAACTAAGATAAGCGGCTAGCAGAGCTTCTGACTGACAGTTTATGTGCAGCAGCAAATCAACTATCCTGATTAACAAGGTTATAAAAGCTCATAAATGAAAAATCACGTTGATGTGTGGGGGAACTTTTCCAGGCCCTCTTTAGCAGGGTGGGACTGGGAGGAGAGTGCTGTAGCCTTTTAGCTGGAAGCTAACCGGACCCTGGGGCTAACGTCACCAACCGGTGGAACACTAGCGACAAGAAGGTGGGTTGGTTCACCGGCACATGTCGGAGTCAGCTCGGTTATTATCAGCTGCTTAACGACACCGAGCGGAGTCACGTTCACGTTTGAAAGCAGCGCTGATTCCAGAAACCTCAGCACAAAGTGTGTTCGCTGCTCTGAGCCAGCATGACGAACAAGGGAACGGCGCCGCTAACTCAGTTCGGGTGTTGCTTTCCAAAAGGGTCTAGGTAGGGGGCGGGCGTATTACGTGAATGGAACCATCTGATTGGCCGCATATCAGAAGGATTACATTTGATTGGTCAAATAATACTTCCGTGTTCAAAACAGAGCTGGTTTACAAAAAGTTGATGTATGACACGGATGGAAATGTTGAACCAAACATTTATCGCCGTTTTTGACGTGCTTTGCGATGGGCCTATCGCATGTCCTGTTATCGCGATGACGATAATTTTTCGATATATTGTGCAGCCCTAGTTTAAACAGTTATTACTTACATCTGAAAAGACAGCTCTCATTCTCCACTGCAGCTACCACTTAGAGTTCTGAAAACAAAGCTAGTGGGTCACAAGTCATTTATTTTTAAACCCACAACTAATTCAGCCAATTAGGTCACAGAATTACAGACCATAATCCTGTGTGCTGTATCAAGATAGTTTTACTCCTGCAAGTCCACCAATAAGATTACCACAGCCTTAGAGGAGACACACATCCAATCCGAGGGATCTCTGCCAGAGGAAAAGTAAGCATGATAAAAGGCAGACTGAAGGGTAGGAGGTGGGGCGTTGCACTGGTCACACGTCTGAATCTGGTACAGACTCTGGAAGCCTTGCATAAACACTCAGAATGGGTGTAAGGATGAATGAATGTTTTGGAGGGAGACAGCAAGCATTAATAAACATGATACAATGTCAATGTTCCCGATTATAGCATCAAGGCTAACTACCACCAGTGGTCCCCCCACCTAACGACAGCACAGCGGAGCTGGAGGGGAAGGGACACATGTGGTGCTTCTTTATATTATGTTGCTTCTGGGTCTATTTGTGAGTGGCCCTCGGACTATAACTGAGGACGCCTGCTCTAGCGTGTCATTCATCCGTTCACACAGTGGTGATGATGAGCTATGTAGCCACAGCTGCCCTGGGGTGCACTGACAGAGGTGAGGCTGCTGAACACAGGTGCCATCGGCTCCTCCGATCACCACCAGCAGGCAACTTGGGTTAAATGTCTTGCCCAAAGACACAACAGCAGAATTATCTGTCTGTAGCCAGGATTGAACCAGCAACCTTCCAATTTCTGGACAACTTGCTCAACCTCCTGAGCTGCTCCATGCACACACACACACACACACACACACACACACACACACACACACACACACACACACACACACACACACACACACACACACACACACACACACACACACACACACACACACACAAACTTGAACCCATCCACTCCTGCAGTAATACTCACACATGGCTTCTTGGACCAGTGCTTGGGTTAGGGTTAGCAGTGGTCTCTAGGAGGAACGAATGCCCCGCAAGTCCCGACCAGCATTTTAGGCTTCGGATCCCATCTTTTAACTTCAAATCCGATCTGATTTCAAGTCCCAATCCGACAGTTTGCCTTTACTGTTGACATTTATAAAGCTGAAATATATTTTTAGCAACCAACTCAAGTGAACTTTTTAAGACTGATTTCATTAATAAGAACTAACATTATTGTTGTGAATCCCATGAAATCAAAATGTTACAGAGAAAGGTCAGCTTCAGGTTAATATTTTGGACAAAAGTAATGAACTGACTACAGTCAGACTGCGAGCAGGCTGGCATGCCCAATGGTGCTGTTACAAAAAGCACGAGGTGGGTTGCAGCCAGTAGCAGCATCTCTCGCTTCGTTACTCTCTTTTTCTTCTGTGCGTTGTTTTTATGCCCTTTGCCCTCTGGAGTCGGTGGTATGAATAGCCATTTAGACAAGTTTTAGTGTTCACCTTTATAATAAACTCTATATTTTATTGTTTGTAGCATGGCCAAGGCCATGTGTTTCATCAAATGACTGTGGGTTAACTTTCTGTAGCATACAGGTCGTGCCAACCTGGCACCAGGAGGTCGATTGTGAATATCTCAACTTGTGCATTATCCATATCAGAAGACACCTCTGAGGACACAAGACTCTTAATCTAGCTCCCTTTAATAAAGTGATCTTGTTCTGGCTCATTAAATGACTTTCTAACCGTCATGGTCTGCGTCCTGCGTCTCCCTCATGTGTCTCCTTGTCTGCATCCCTCCTCAGGAGCCTCCTTGTGGTCCCCAGCCCCTTCCAGGTTTCCCTCCAGGTTTCCATCATGGTTCCCTAAGTATTCTGTGCCCCTTTTGTCCCCAGCTCACTCCCGGTTTCCCTCAGGTCTGTCCTAGTCACCCCTCTGTAGTTTTTTATAGGTTCAGGATTTCATTTTATTAGTCTCCTTTTGTGTGTGTTTTCATTCGCCACTTGTTAATTTGTCTCCCTAATTCTTCAGGTCATTAGTTATTTATCTTTGCTTCTCCCATGCCCATAGTCTTTCAGGTTTATTTATTTAGAGATTATTTAGAGATTCATAGGTTAAGGTTTATCCTCTCTGCTTGGTTTTCCCTTCCCATTTAGTTAATTAAGCTCACCAGTCTCTCCCCACGCACCTGCTCCTCGTTCTCCCTCAATCACCCAGCCCCTGTGTAAAAAACCCTGTCTGCGTCCCAATGTGTTGTTGGTCCATTGTTCATGTCAGCGTTGTTTTGTGCCCCCTCCTTCGTGGTCTCTAGGTCTCCAGGTTTCTAGGGTTTTTGGCTTTCATGCCCCGCTTGGATGTTATTTATTTTATTTGTCATCCGAATAAAGGAATGCTTTCTTTCATATCTGCTCCTGCATCATGTCATTCTGGGTATCTGCATTTTGGGTCCTACTCCGCGGGCTCTCAGCGTGACGCTAACTTACAAGGTATTTACAATCATATTCTCTTTACCCACGATATGTTTTAAATCTAAAGTTGTATCCCAATGCTAACACTAGCATCACACATTGCACTTCCCTTCCCTTGCATCCCTTTGGCCTCTCCCACAAGTGGTGAGCCCAAGGGCAGGGGAACCCAGGCTTCCTCTTGGGGCTGTGCCCGGCCAGGCTCCATGGGTGAAAGCCCGACCACCAGGTGCTCTCCGACGTGCCCCACCTCCAGGCCTGGCTCCAGAGGGGGGCCCCGATGGCCTGCGTCCAGGCAAAGGTAACACTGTTTCCATTTATGTTTGTCTTCATAAGGAGTCTTTGGGCTGCTCCTTGTCTGATCCCTCACCTACGACCTGTTAGCCCTGGGTCACCCTACCAGAGGCATAAAGCCTCAGACAACGGAGCTCCTACAGGATCAGTGGGACTCTCAAACCCCTCCACCATGGTAAGGTGGCAGCCCATGGACGACAGGCAGTTTTAATATTTTTTATTAAAGGGATGTTTTCCCTCGATTAATTACTACCATTTTCACATTTTAGGTCTTTTAATAAAACATCACAAACTCTCATGAACCACTGGACAAATTTTCATGAAAATAAAAACTATTGTATTTACATTTTCAGCTGAATAACTTTTGGAAACAACCCAGTTCAAGTAAGTTGACATTGGCAAACACTGTTATGACTAACAGCAGCTTTATAGATATTATGCTAAACTTTCATGCCTTCTAAGATGATATTCATTCACAACCAGAGATGGAAGAAGTACTTGACTTTTTTACTAAAGTATAAGTACAAATAAGTGTCTTCATCTTTATCAGTAAGTAAAATTATATTTCTGTATTTTATTTGGGACAGCAATAGCTCAGGAGGTGGAGTGGGCTGTCCAGTAATCGGAAGGTCGCAGGTTCATCCTTGTGTCCTTGGGCAAGACACTTAACCCAACTTGGCTGCTGGTGGTGGTCGGAGGGACCGGTGGCAACAGTGGTCGGCAGCCTCGCCTCTGTCAGTGCGCCCCAGGGCAGCTGTGGCTACTTGGCTCATCATTACCAGTGTGTGAATGTGTGGATGACTGATTGTGTTGGGAAGTGCCTTGGGGGGTTGTAGAACCCTACAAAGACGCTATACAATATCAGGCCATTTAAATATTTTCCAGCATCTTTGTTTTTTCTTCTGTGCCTTGTAAAATCCAGACTTTACACCTTTCTACATCAACAGCTGTAGTCCAACGCATGTCCTTCAGGGCTACCATCCCGCAAGCTTCAGATGAGTCCCCGCTCTAACACTCCTGATTTACATGGGTTTATATCATCAGTTTGTCCAGTCCTACAGAGATCCGTTAATGACCCTAATTAGGTGTGTTGAAGAAGGGAAACTTCTAAAACCTGCAGGAACGTGGTCCTCAAAGACTGGAGTTGGTCACCACTCACAGGTTTGTAGTCAAAGCATGAGGGTTTGCATGGGCAGCAGTTATGTTTACAATTATGAACTCAGAAAAGGAATCTGAACTGTTCTTACGTTCATGTCAGTTGGAAACTCGTCCTTTTTCACCAGGCCGGTGGCCGCAACGATGTTCCCGACAGCCCCAGTGGTCTTCTCAGCCACTGCAGATGCACACACACACACACACACACACACACACACACACACACACACACACACACACACACACACACACACACACACACACACACACACACACACATGCAACATTACCCTAGCGGATTCATGACACATTCAAACTGTGGTTCAAGCGCTAGTTAATCATTGGGGATTATGACTAATTACACCAGACACCTTCAGCTGTATCCTACCTGCTTTCATACATTAGCTGTTTTCTACTTAAGTTTCCTTTATAAGTTTACTTCTTACTGGAATGAAAACAAACACATTAGCAGCATAACTCACCCGTGCCCACGCTGTCTTTGGCTTTGCTACCTGAAACATGAAAAACACAAGAAACATAATGTGTTGGCTTTCTCCTGCAAATGAGCCAGTTTGCATTTTGAGGATTTTTTTGTTTGTGTTTGAGCATAAACATTATTTTAATACCACTTTACAAAGAACTACCCTTATGAATACTTAATAGTTAATATTACAACTATTAACAGTTCATAACAAATTAACAACCTTCAAATGCAAAAAATAATGAAGGAGAAAACTGTGACCTGGTTCAGGGTTTTACAGTTGTTTTATAAGTTCATATATTAATTATTTGTAAGGTGATAATAAACTATTTAATATTTTTTTATAATTTTAATCTTAGTAAAATTGCGCTATTTGGCTTTTTTTTTTTGGTGTTTAAACTCCACCTACAGTTTGGTATGATTTGATAGGCATAAGAAAACCAAACATTATTCTCAATAACTAATAAGTAAAATAAACAAATGCTGAATTAATTAACAATTAGGGCTGCATAATATATCGGAAATATATTGTTATAGCGATATCAGCACGCGCAATATGCATATCGCGAAGAACAGATAAATATCGCAATAAAGGGTCAGCTCAAATGTTTGTCACACATGATGCATTCTGTCAATCAAACAGAAGCATGATGTTTTTCTAACAAATCAAATAGAGCTCTTCACCCATTTGGCCAATTGGGTGGGTTCTCATAGGTTAGATGCCCGCCCCCGAAGCAGACAGCACTTAATATTGATGGTTAGCAAACACCTGAGTTAGCGTTGTTCAGCTCTTTCTGCTGTGTAGCAACCAGAGAGTCGGTACCACTGGTCTTCCCTACCGGGCCGAGTACCCAGAGGCTGATCAACATCCTCCCTTGACCTCCGGATCTGAACAGAGGGTCGTCTGAACGGTGAGGTAGAACACAAGATTGCATCTGAATGCTCTTTAATAAGAACAACTTTAGTTTATCTGCAAACCAAATTCTTTTCTACCCAGAACGCGTCTTCTCTCAAGATACACGTTCTGAGAACATTGCATTCACCCACAACCAAACACACTTCCAGCTTAGATTCATCCATTCACAGGGTTGCTATTTAATACCAAAGCTTTTATAAATTGTCTTTTATAAATTGTCTTTTATAAATTGTCTTTTAAATTGTCGTGTTTTAAATTGTTTAGTAATCAATTTCTTAACTTTTTAAACTTGACTCTTCATTGAAATAAACACAGAGTGGGTGTATATTGATCACTGAACGAACAAAGATCTTTAGATCTCCTGAATTAACAAATAACTTTGCTGTTGAATAAAATCTTTAAAATTAAATATGAATCTTTTGATTAAACATAGACCAAGAAAGTTGGTGTATGAATTTACATCTATTATATCTATACATCCGTATATGTATACATGCATGTAAATTTCATTCATTAATTTGTTTGATCTTTCTTAGGAATTAAAACACAAGCTGAATAGCAGCAGCCTCTAATTCCTATATACTGTATGTAGTTCATTAAATGCTACAGCTGATTGTATTTTCTTGTTCATTTTCTTTTTCCCTTTCTCTTTCCTCACATCTTTTGCTTTTCTCATTTTTATAATCGTTTTTGTAATTTTTATTTCTTTGTTTTTTATTATTTTTGTTCCTGAGTTAAGTTTTTATTTATCACGAGTAATAACATCATTGCAGTATTAATCACTGTTATCGTAATTTGCAGGTTTTCCTAATATTGTGCTTAGAGGTGGGAGAAATGATCAATTCTAAGATGCATCGCGATATGGCCGTGCATGATTCTGCATCGATACAGCAACGCGACATAATGTGATTTTCTCCCTATGTCTATATCTATGTTCTGGATGCACGAGGACAATAATGTTTTGAGGTTTTACAACCACTTCCGGGGGCAGAGTTGCAATGACATGTGCACTGCGTTGCCCTAGCGCCAGTTTAAAACAGAAATGGCGGACAGGGATACAGGGCGAAAATTTCCAGGAATCAAAGATGCACCCATTACATTTAAATCGAATGTCTGGGCTAATTTCAGCTTTCATGAGCTAGCTTGACAAGACACACACTGTGTGTAAGGTGTGCCACACAAAACTAAAGTACTTTGGTGGCATGGCCACGAGTTCACCTTTCCTCTCCTGTCCAAGCTGTGAAGGAGATACTTGTGTATCCCAGGGACAAGTGTGTCTGCAGAGAGGGTCTTCTCTACTGCAGGAGATGTTGTCACAGCAAAAAGAAGCACTCTCAAACCAGAACATGTCAATCACCTAGTGTTCTTAGGCAAAAACCTTGAAATACCAAAGTGCTATAAAGTGAGCAGTTATGTCAGGTCAAAAGAGACATTCTTAAAACTGATTACAGGTGTAGCTAGGCCTATGCAATTTATTTTGGGTTTACATTGTTTATTAAGATTTATGTTTAAATCAGCACACTTTGAATGTAGAAAAAGGAATTGTTTATTTTTTTTAATTAGCACTTTTTAATAGGTGGGCAAGGCCTATATTTGTTTTGGGATCCTGGATGTAAAAGAATGACTTAACGCAGTATTTGTTTACTATTTTTAAGTTCAGTAGTATTCTGTCTTAAAGCTGCTCTACAGAAAACATTATTTCTTATATTGTTTAAGTAATTATAGGCAGCACATTTAAAAAATTGTTGCTCACTGTAGTGAATAGATGTATGTTCTGTTTTTCAGAGATACTGAAATAAAAAAGACATGTAAAACTATTCTACTACTTTTATTAAGCAATGAAACACTTTGTGTGAAGAATTGTGATGTATCTCAGACTCAAATCGAATCTTTAGGCAGATAATCGGAATCGGATCGAATCGTGAGGCAGGTGGAGATGCACACCACTAATTGTGCAGCCCTAATAACAATGAATAAACAAGTTTTACCTGAACAATGTTTACGGGGGGAATGCCACGTAGCGAGCTAATCCCAAAATCCAGGCTCTGTTTGAAAATCCTGGATTAGCATCTCAGACCCAGTAACTTGAATGTGGCTAGCCTGAAGCCCCTCCCATTCACCACGGTAACATGCTGGAGATCAAACCTGCTCCATGGCAGCAGCTTTGTTCTTGGTGGGTAAATTATTGTTAAATGTGGAGTTTAAACTTTTAAGCATGAGTTGTATTGGATTTGTGTCTTAACACTTTTTCTGTTTAATCTTAATTTGCAGCCAGAAACCTTTCATTCCACTCGTGTCAGCATTATTAATAAGTACAATTATATATCAGTGTCAGCCAGGCATGGACCCATGCTGTCTTTTTTATGATTATGTCAAAATAACCTTAAGCCACATGCTAACATTTTACATACAAAAGGAATAACTTTATTGATACAGATTGTACTCTGGTCACACGTGGCAAACATGATAATATTGGTTTAAAATGACATATGAGATTTTTTGTCCTCGGTGTGTAATATGAGAGCTAAATGTGTTTTTGTGACGATTTACAGCAATAATTTAGGGTCACATGACTGGCACTAACGTATATTCTTAAAACTCACAGCTGCTCAGCCAACACAAAGTCCTGGACTCTCTAAACTCTGGAAAACGGCACATAAATGATGAAAAGCAAAACGGATACAAAGGGAACTTCTGGTGTTGCCATGGAAACATGTGAATGCTGAGCATTCTAACTAAATAACCTGTATGTGGTCTCTATTTTAGTTATGATTTTTTTTGCAGTCCTCATAGGCAAGAATTGTTAATTATTGCTCTTCTGTTCTCATTTATCTAGCATCGATTAACAGGGTCTGCATGCAGACGCACGTGAGCCCCACTTGCCGCTCCCTGCTTGGATTAGAAAGGACTGAATCCACCTGAGCATCATTAGTAATATCACTGAATCCTTGAGTGAACAGGTGCGATTTGTCAAGCAGGGATTTATCAGGATAGCCCTGACGTTCGCTCGGGTATACCCCCCAGGTCTACAATAAACATCACAACGCTAGTGCAGGTAGCCGACCTCCAGGGACTCATTGGGGGTTCATCAACATAAAAGAGAGAATGAACACAAAGAAATAGTTAAAAATGGTTTATTTAATGCTGTAAGAAAGGTGGATTAAGACCACCAAAATTCTATATAAAAAGCACTAATAATTGTGGTTTCCCCATACGAATTTCTTACTTAAGTATCACCAAATGCTATTTCTACTTTTTTACCAATCACCAGCATAATGATATCTGAGGTAAGGGAAGGTGGTCTTATCATGTTTGACCAATTAGAGCTGACAGTAAACTTTAACAACATTAAATTCCGCAAATCATTCTGAAAGCTGAAAACAATAATTAAAGAAAAACTCAGATGTTGCCATCAAGATTTATGAGATAAATGAAAATGAATGAATGAAAAGCTTTATTTGTCCCAGGGAGGGGAAATTAGAGTTTCAGTACACACAATTCAGAGATCAGACATACATGGGCAAGACACATGACAAGAATTGGTGACTGTGGTCATTTGCAACCGAGTCACGCTACCTTAATAGAGAGAGAAAAGGATAACATGAGGAATGGATTCGGGAGGAGGGAAAAAAAGGCACTTCACAGCTACTCTCCCCCCAGGAGGGCAGCTTTGCTCTGTGAAAAAAACACCTCAACAGATAACACAACACAACATCACAATAGGAAGGCAGGGGGGCTAGGATCCTGTTTCCCCCAGTGAGAGCTGCCATCTACGGCATGTACGGCGCTCAACCTCTGTAGACCACAGGTGGGAGGGAGATCTTGGGAGGAACGCAGAGCACATTGACCCTGCAGGTTGATGACCTCGCTAGGCAGAAGTCCACAATCTGAAGGCGGGGGGGGGGGGGGGGGGGGGGGGGGGGGTCGGGTTTTCACAGCATCTGTCTGCATTCCTTCCTTCGTGGGGGTTGTTGTTGTTGGCATCTTGAAGGCTGCCTCAGCGTCAGATTTCCATAACAAGACTTTGTTTGGGTCAGGCAGAGATAATTTTCCTTTCTGCCTTCAGTCTGTAACTGGTCATTCCAGTCCTTCAGTGAAGCCAATTTAGGTTTTAAACATCTCCACACCATCCTGTGACCCTCTCTGAGATGACATCCATTTTGCGCACTAACACCGGTAACGCAGCTAGGACATTGTCCAGCTTACGATTCACCTCAAGTAACGTCCCAGTCTGTGAGGTCTCTGCTCGGGCGGTGCTTCCCGTGGGTGCAGGTCGCCCTCCAATCGCTCCCGTCTTCCCAAATTTCCAGAAAACCAGTTATCCTCCCACACGAATCAGAAGAAATCCAGTGATCATCAGACCAAATATCCACATATCTTCAATGTCCTCAATGGACAGCTGAGAGAGATATACGATCCTCCACACCTTTCAGGAATCAAGCGCATATCCCGCTGCGTGTGTCCCTTGCGGGCATGTGGGAGCCCCCTCCTCCATTGTCATCGTGGAAAAAAATCTTATCAATTGTGTTGAATGACCAATTAATTAAATCCATTTCTAAAAAATAGGGATTTCCAGAAGAAATGCAGAGAGGCGCTCTGTAGGCAGACAGGACGAAGAGCCTTGGGAAAAAAAAGATGAGGGAGCAAAAGCAGAAGCGTCTGTACTCTGCGAGTGCCGGAAGAAAGGGGAATGCACTGCTTTGGAGGTTCCAGTGAGTCATGAAAGGTAAACAGCCCTAATGAATCTGACACTAGTATCTGATCTAGTATCTCTATCTGCTTCAGCTCATTGAGCTGGGTCAGTGTGGTCCCCAGCAGCACCAGAAAATGTCAGAAGATGGATTTCTCAAATCTTACCTCTCCACCAAAGTAGAACCTTTCCAGGACACCGTCATGCTCAACAAGCAGTGAAAGAAAGGACGCTGCACTCGCATGGCAGAAGGCCGAAAAAAACCTGCACATGTTCGGACTGCAGGGCCAACATGTTTGGGAGTCCAGTCGAGTGACAGCGATGCTGAGCTAGCTATGGTTGTTGGTGAGATTCAATCTATGTGCTTCTGACACGTCTGACAACATAGGCTCCTCTCGGATGCATCTACACAAACTGTTTCAGAGCGAAAACAAAATTGTGCAAGCTGGTGAGAGCTAAGCAGCAAGCAGAGCTGTCACCAGGAGTCTGGATCCAACAGCAACTCAAAAATCGGACGGTTAGGAGACAGTTAAAGGTACGGCAGGTAGGAAGCTGCAGGACGTAGTTTTTGATACATTGTTCTGAACATTGTTATTATTGGTAGAAATGATCCTTAATAAAGCTTTTCTCAGTATGCTGTTGATGATTTTCTGATGTCAGGTCAGCAGGCCAGGAGCTCTCTGGCTCTGAGGAAAGCTGATGAGCTCATGTCTCTGAAACCCGTAGTTATTTTCATCTGCTCAGTTATTTCTGATATTTATTGATTCTTTTTAAAAATTAAAGCAATGTGTCATTCTGTCAGCCCCTACTACTTCTGCCAGGACTGTGTTATCAATCTAAACTACTTTAAAGGACAAAAAATGTTGTATGGACCCCAAATTAAACTGGGAGTTCGATACATTTAAGTCATCCCTCCATCTTCTTCCACTTATCCCGTGTCGGGTCTCGGGGGCAGCAGCCTGAGGAGGGAGGCCCAGACGTCCCTCTCCCCAGCCACTCGGGCCAGCTCCTCCGGGGGAATCAGAAGGTGTTCCCTGGCCAGCTAAGAGACACAGTCCCTCCAGCATGTCCTGGGTCTCCCCAGACACCCTGCAGAGAACACTAATGTTGGCCACTTGTATTTGTGATCTCATTCTTTCGGTCACAACCCAAAGATTGTGACCATACATGAGGGTAGGAACGAAGATCGAACAGTAAATTGAGAGCTTCACCTTCTGGCTCAGGGTCCTCATTTATCAAGCTTGCTTACGCAAAAAACGGGTCGGAAAACTGCGTAAGCAACTTTCCACGCAAACTTTGGGATTTATGAAAGAAAACTTAGCGGAAAAATGTGCGCAACTTTAAGTTGACTAAGGACCTGGCTTACGCACATGATGGACATGGAGAGCACCTGCAGAGCTGCTGCTGAGAAGATACGATTATGAAATCCTGCAGCATTATCACTTGTACCGCTTCGTTTTCACACAGAACAAGACCCACCCCCCCACACCCCCCCACGTGCACACACACACACACACACACACACACACACACACACACACACACACACACACACACACACACACACACACACACACACACACACACACACACACGCACACACACACACACAGCCTGCAGGGGGACAGATTGAGACAGAACATAATGCGTCTGTGACAGTGTGTGTGTGTCTTGTCACTGTGACCTGATTTATGATGCGCCCTGGCTATTTGGACAAGGGGGATCTCCGTTTGGCTGACTGGTTAGTGCACGTGACCTTCACCCGGGAGTCTGGGGATCGAATCCTGATTGGACTATTTTTTTATGTCCACCACAGATCTCTCTGAAGAATTCAGCATTGACGGCTTCAGCAACGCTGTGCCACTCCATGGATTTTCTCTTATTTGTTTTGCAAAAGTACTTCCTTTCATTTCTCCACCTCACCCACAGGTACCTCAACTTCTGCTTCTGTGAAAAAGCGCTTCCTTGATCTGCCTTGATCTACGGTCACCATGTCATTGGCGGAGCGCTGCAACAGCCGGCTTATGTAAAAGCATGAGATCCACAAGGTACTTTGCATTGACCATTTATGGCAGTAAGTGGGCGTGGTGAGGGTGGGATGTGACTAAAATGCAGCTAAGAACCTTTCTAGATAGTTTCTGATTTATGAAGTGGAGATTGCGTGCAGCTGTGCGTACTCCATGTTTGATAGATCACAAACCTACTTGGCGTAAGTACTTTTCTTTTGCTGAGCTTAAGTACGGTTTTAGTAAGGATTCTACGCAATGTTTGATAGATGAGTCCCCAGCTCTCTTCACCACGACAGATCGGTACAACGCCCGCATAACTGCAGACGCAGCACCAATCCTCCTATCCATCTGACGCTGCATCTTTCCCTCTCTAGTGAACAAGGCCCAGACTCCTCCACTTGAGGCAGGACCTCATCCCTGACCTGGAGAAGGCACCCTATTTCCAACTCAAGGCCATGGTTTTGGATTTACATCTACATTAAACCAAATATCTTTATGCTTCTTGTAAACATTTGTTCTCATCTGAAAATAAACTGCACTTACATTTTAAAATGCTTTGTGTGGAAATCATTTTAAAAATACTAAAGGATTCGACACTAAGGAATTGTAACGATTAATTATTTCAGCTACAAAGAAGATTAAGTATCTATACAGCTGTGTTTGTAACAAGACAATAAAACTCACTGTGGAATTTTGATTCTGAGGGGTTTCAGTCCGTTTTTGTTGCATTACTTTTGCTTTCATTTAGACTCTTAACTCCTCTTTTTAAAATAAACATGCAAATTCAAATGACGTATTTGTGATTAAATCTGGTGACAAGGACATTTCTCAATGTTGCTTAATAAACCAGAAGACAATAGGATTTCCTTCTGTCTTCTGAACCTGCAACCAACACCAAAAAGCTCGGCCTTGAGCCGGACTGACCCCGTCAACCAGAGCCTCAGACTTTTACGATCTGAGGCAAGAGCTGCTTTCTCTGACCCGCTGCCCCACCCCCAAGTCTTGCTTCTATCTGCAGCTAGCAGCAGCCTCTCAGAGCACACTCCTCGTGTCACATAGAGTACATCGCCACGCCTCTTTAACCTGGTGCATTATTTACTACCAGGATTCTGCTGCTCCATGTGTTCAACATCATATCATGAAATCATATTAAAAAATGAAGGATTCTGAATCTGTCTCATTGTGGTGAGAAGACTGTGTGGAATATAAGCATCAGTTTTGTCTGTTATTGAGCTTGCATTAAAGGCAAATCATTTTTCATATTTGAAGGATTTGTGTGTGAATAACATCAATATAACATCTTACCTACAAACATGACTCCTTCCTTGGTCTTCTCTGCTGCCACTGCAACTCCTTCCTTGGTCTTCTCTGCGGCCACAGCCATGCCCTCCTTAGCTTTAGACAAACCCTTCATAAACACGTCCATCCTTGCCAAGCTACTGTGGAGAGATGGACCACATGACACAGGCAATGTTGAATCTTCACTTCATGCACACGTTTTAAATCCTACAGTATAGATGAGAAACAGGAGGATAAGCTAATAATATTTCAACCATTTTGAATGAAAATCTCTTGAGTGTTTTCTGTCTGGTATTAGGGTTGTAGTGATGTTTGAAAGACTGCAGCACCTCCTGTGGTAGATCGTGACCACTGCAGTCCAGCAGCCATCAGGCTAGTAAAAGCCCTCAGCTCACTCATGCATTCAACCTCCATTCTCAAATCATCATCAGAGCATGAAATATTCAAAGGGAAGATATTTCAATCAAATGTTTAATCGGGAAGGGTGCACTCATTAATCATTGCCCGTCTGTAATTCAACTGGCAGGACTAGCCTGGCATATTTAGGTTTTTTATTAAGTATGTTGCATTAGAGGGTGTATTTTAATTCATATGACAGAGCACGCTGCTGGGGGAAGGGAGGCACGACAAAATGCTACTGTACAGTCCAATCAGCCGCGATCCCATCGGAATGGGAAAAAATTTGCAGAAGATCGACCAAAGCTGCAGAATCGAATTGAATTCCGAGGCGCGCATCAATCAGAGCTCCATCCTGAACGGAGCCGGTCAGGTCGACAATCCAGCTGAGACCTGTGCGTGGTTTTCCTAGAAGAATTGAAAATCCGGTTGTTTCATGTGCTTCTGCGTGACGACGCTCCCAGGCATCGACGATGACCTCCATGAAACGAATAATACAAACAGCATGAATGCAAGGCTGGAATATGAAAACCTGCACGCTTACCTGTGTACCAACAGCCACCGACTTGTCCCCAGCGATCGGGCCTGCGCACGCCTCTAAACTCTACCGTCTAAACCGGAGATCTGTTCAGATGATCGCTGAAGGTGGGCCTTCCTCGGGCTGATCTCCACTAACAGGGACTGCCCCTTCACAGTGCGGCTGAGAATATCACGTATCCACCCCCTCTCCTCCCCTCCCCGCCTCGTTCTCTCGCTCCACCATCTCCGGTTCATCTTACTTTATTGATCACTCCACATGTTCTACTGCAAAAACATCCCTTTGTAAAGCCACCTCACCCTGTTATTTCCACTGCAGTAGTTAAATCGTGCCCAACATTTAACAAATAAAGACCGAGATATTTTACAAATTAGCGACATGTATTAATAAACACACATGTTGGCTTATTAAAAAAAACGAATGTTAAATTTTACATAAACAAACAAATAAATCACAGTTTTGCAGTAGATGTAAAACCACGATCGTCAGGTTGTAGCTACACGTTCTGCATACAAAACGGTGAACATTTGTTTTAGCTTCACCAACTTCAGTTCCTTCTCCTGACCTGGATGGTCTTGGTCCTGTTGATGGCTCTCAGATCAGCTGACCATCTGCTCTCGTCCCAGAACGAGGTTGGAGCTCAGAGCAGACCAGTTGTTGGGCACAGATTGCAAATTCCTTTACTCATCAGACAGCATCCCCACTTCCTATTCTTTTAAAACTCTTTTATAGAGTACACACATCTTCAATGGTAAATGACACAGTGAGACTCTTTTTACAGTCAGTTTTCGTTTAAAGTTATTTTAGTCTTTTTAATGTTGCTGTTTTATTGGTTTTTGTTGTGGTCTGACTTGTTTTATCTCATTTTACCACTGCATCACTTTGGGTAAACTTGATGGTTTCTAAAATAAGCTACATTCATGAAATGTGCTGAACAGATTGCACAACTGCTTCAAGTAAAAAGTTTGTATTAATAATGTACTGTGTGTATTTCAGTGTAAGTTGTAGTCACTATTAAAGAAAAAGAACTTTCATTCAATGAGTGTTTCATTTGCCCTGGACTAAGTGTTTAACAACTCCCTCTATCTTTCTGTCCTTCTAATTTCCTTCCACTTTGTCTGACGTAAACACGGTGACGTGGTCTTAGATGTAAAGGGCGAATGATTACGAACCCCAGCTTCTTCTCTCACTAGCTCCGCCTCCGCCTCTAGTTTAAAGGAGATGCCACATATGAGTGGGCAGGATGTGGCTTCATCCCTGAGCAGGATGTGCAGTCTTCTGTGAGAAGGTGACCTAGAAAAGAGAGGGGGTGGAGTGTATGTATTATGACATGGTTTTATAGCCCAGGAAAACTCGATTTAAATGGATGACTTGACCTTTTTTTCCTGCAGCATCGCATAGGTTGCAGTTCAAGTAAAAATGTAGATCAGCACCATGGACAGAGACACATTAAGCACTCTGAACAGCTCTTGTTTCTGTCTCTGTCCGTGGTGCTGATCTGCAGCGAGACATGGAGCTAAAATAAAACGAGGCTGCTTAAATCACTCTCCAGATTTTCATCACCAAATTTTAATGAAAGTAGACCAAAACTGAAAGAAAACATTTGGTTAGATGATCTGTTTCACATCTGTTTTATGGCGTAGAGCTGTGAAATATGTCATCACATTGGTTTAATTCTCAGTGGAGTTGTTACACTTGTAGTCCGACTCTGCCCTCTTCTGGTTACTGCATTTATATATTTCCTCATTGAAACCCAGGCTATATATATGAGACCACTGCTTTATGTTGTAAAAAGAAAAAAAAATCCCCCACAGAGAACTAAACCGTTGTTTAAATGGCTTCATGCAAATATTTGCTACTTTGAACTAAAATGTAAATAAATAAATAAATAAATAAATAAATAAGATAAGGAGTAGCAATTAAAATAATTTACATCTAAATAAGTCTAATTTTGTTTTTGGTCAAAAATATGGTTACTATTTTCTATTTTCTGTGGTGTTACATCTATGGCATGAAAATGCTCATAGTTTTAGAAGTTCTATTAACCCAAACTTAGATGGTTATATTGTCTTAAAAACTGTTGGCTTTTAAAAAATAATTACCAAATGTTATTTTTATTTTTTTTATTTTTTACTGTGTCCTGTCTGGCTGCGAAGCAAACAGAATTGATGTCTGAATGCTGGTAACAAGCCTTACAGATTTACTCTCAGGTGGAGCATCAAAGTGTCTGCTTTTAATGTCACACCTGATACTTAAAACTTTATTGTTCTTGTTTTTTAATGCTTTGTAATTTCGACCAGACATGGAGACAGAGGTGAAAGAGAAAGGAAGAGACAAAAGGTGGGGAGGGGGGTTCCACAAAAAAAAATCAATGTTGAACAGGGTCTGCTTCTAGACCTGCAGAAAAGGGACACACAACAATACAACTGGAGCAAGCTATCACTGCGTCAACTTGATGAAGGAATATAAAATCAACATTGTTTGACTGAACAATCACACGATAATAAATCACAGTGCATTTTGTGCAAACCACAGCCTTAAGACATGTGTTGAACGTGCCCAAGTCCATACTTATGAGAGCACCATGTGAGTACCTGTGTGCGTACACGCGCTTGTATATGTAAGGTTTCTCTATTGGAGGGAGCTCCAAATCCCAGAGATCCAGGAGCTGCCCCAGAGTGCAGGGACCCCAGGGGACTGCGACCACAGGAATGCGGAAATGGGGTCCATACCCACACCCCCTGACTTGTCCACCCCCCAAAGTCCTATGTGCATGTTTGTGTGACCATGTGAGGGAACAGGAAGAGAGAAATATGCGGGGATGGGGAGGGATGGCTGGTTGGCCTAAGCCCTCCAGGGAGCCAGCTCCCCCACTGGCCCCAATAGGCACCTCTGTTGCCAAAATGCCACCCAGGGCATGGAGACCCCAGCCCATCTTGCCAAGGCCCAAAGCAGCAGCATTACAGAGCTCCACGGAGTCCGAGGGAACAAATGCAGCCCCACCCCAGCAGAATATCTACTCCCATCCCTGCATTTGCACAACTTCCAGAACATGTAAGACAAAGGACATCCAGGTAAATTTGGGTCCTCCCCGTCCTGGACATCCCCCTCCCCAGTGATGGACAGCAGAGGAGCCAAGGTTTACCTGAATACCTTGGGCTGGGCCAGGCGCTGCCGCATGTTCCTGCCTTCTTCCCGGCAGCATACATGTCAGGACCAGACCCCTGAGGCCCCGCCCAGGTCCCCACATGGGGCCGGCCAACCCCACACCCTGAGTTTCCAGGCCCCCACCCAGACCTACTCTGGGGCATTGCAGCTGCCAGGCAGCAACCCACGGCCACCGCCAAGACCCCCAAGGGGTCCCACTCACAACAGCCAGCAGTCCGCCCCTCGAGGCAACCCAAGCACCTCCAGAGCAGCCCCAGACACCCCCCAGTGAACCCACCTCCAGGGAACGTCCGGGTACTCCAAACTCAGACCCTCCACCCCATCAGCCACATCACCCCGCAGGACAACATCAATGGTCCCCCATCATCGCTATGTGATGGAACTGATCAAAGGAGCCCAAAGAGATTGATTTGAAGTGGAAGCAGAGGCTATATCAAGTGTAATATGATCCAACAAAAGATTTCTATACTGGTTGATGCAAAGAGTATCTCTATTTTTCCAATTCATGAGGATAGTTTTCTTAGCGATGCATGTAGCAGTCAGAACCACGTGAACCACAGATGTTTCAATCGGGACATCGACCAGGTTTCCCAGTAAACAAAGAGAGGGAGTGGTTGGGATATGACATTTCAGAGACTTTGACAGGTCTTCACACACTCTACCCCAAAATTCCTGGACAGGTGGACAGGACCACAGTGCATGAATGTAATTATCAGGAATGTTGTTTATGCAGTGTGTACAGGTGTCAGACGACACAAACCCCATCTTGAACATCCGATGACCTGTATAGTGTACTCTGTGTAGAATTCTGTACTGAATTAATTGTAAATTGGGGTGTCGGATCATTTTAAAAGTTTTTAAACAAGTTTGGGACCAGAAGTTCTGGTCAAAGCTGACTGATAGATCCACTTCCCATTTTTCAATAGGGATTGCTATTCTATCGTCTATTGTGGACAGTGTCTTATATACTTTAGACAGTAGTTTGGAGGGTCTGAGATTATAGAAGTCTAATACCCTTGGTGGTGTTGAGGGTCTGCCCTCATGAGAAAATTACTATGCAGTATTTTTCTCCAAAAGACTGTGGCAAAAATGCCCTGAAGCATAAATAAAAAGGCATATTGAGATCAGCGCCAAACAGAGACTTCATTTCCCATGACCCTCTGCAGCCGGAAGCAACGTGATGACGTCACCAAAGTGACGCCGAACCCCGGAACCTCCTGTTCCCGCCTGCTGGATTGCCCAGCTATAAGACCCGAAGCGCGGAGAGAAACTTTCTCTTTTGTTCCAGTTTCAGCTGGTGTTGGAGAGACCATTGTACGGCTCCGGACGCAGGCACGAGGCCTGACCGCTGGAAGCAACAAGAACTGCTATCTGGTTCGTTTGAACTCCGAGGGACGCTTCGGGTTCGATTAGACAATAGTTTTTTTTTCTCTTTCTCTTTCTCTCCCATTCTCTCTCTAATAGTGCGAACAAGCGATCGACCGCGTGATCGCTTCAAAGTAAAGACGGTTTCTCTTCCGTACCAAAACACACCATCGGACCATCTTAAAAGTAAGCCGTTTTTTTTTTTGTCATTGTTTAATATCTAAGTTTTATGCTGTGGCCAGGCTGACAAAGTATTAGATATTTTCACTTGCCCTTGATTGATCTTTTGTTTTGTTTATTGATCTTTGTGAAGCAGTTTAAGGTTTTGAAGTGTTTTTGATTGAGTAAAGCCTGGTTTATGCTTCTCCGTCAGCTCCGCAAGGGACAGACACGCACGGATTGACGGAAGCGTTTTGCTTTCATACTTCTCCGTCTCCTGGAGAGTGTTGCAAAGCCATTCCTTGGCAGGACAACAGAGGGATTTGCGCTGTTCTGTGGTATCCTGTCATGTACCGGGTCCAAGATAGTGTGTTTATATTGTGGTTTTTTTGTATATAAGAGACTTTTAACACGGACATATTTGTCTCTCATTCTCCCACCTCTTCATGCGCTCCCCACCTCTAAACCCATGTTTCCTGTCATTTCCGTCCACAAATAAAA